TTTTGGTTGTTTTTGTGTTGTTTTGTTGGGCTGATTTGGCGGGTTGTATTCGGCCAGGCCATGGTCAAGGGGGAGGGATAGGCATGTGTTGTTTTGGCATGTGGTGTGGTGGTTTATTTGGTGGTTAAATTGTTAAAGTTGTGCCATGTTTGTTTTATTAAGTAATGGATGTTTTGTGGCTGGTATAGGGGACATAGTGGGGGCCTTGTTGGGTGGATGTTTTAAAGGGTAAATGGGATGGTTTTGGCTTCTTGTGTTTGGCCAACATAAGGGTTATGAAGGGGGGTTTTGTTGGGTGTGTTTTAACATGGTCTTGCGGGGTGAATGAGGTAGGGTTTTGGGGAAGATGGGTTCTGCCAAGATGAAAAAGGAGAAGGGGGAGAATGGTTAAGGTTTGGTGTTGTTTCTAGATTGTAGGGATTGAGGAGGATCACGGGTTTAAGGGCCTTCAAAATGGATCATATAGCTTAAACATAGGTCCTCGGCTTCCCCCCGGAGTGTAGGGTATAGGGGGAACCATGATGAGGCTGAGCCCAGATATATCAAGGGGGAACACATCCAAAAAATTAGTAATCCACCCTCGCCCCTTTAAAAGAATCTTTGCTTATACCTCTCATCCAAGTGAAATTACTGCCAACACTGGGTCAACCAAACACTGTTCAAATATCCATTCATAAAATCCATTCATGAAACACTGTCTCAAGATTACTTACCTCCTCTGCACTGGTCACTGAATTAAAGTCACCGACAGCAATCCTTTCAGAGATTCCACTTGACACTATCTTCCCAAACATCTAGCACAACCAGCTGAGGATTGTTAAAAAGAACAATGACCCGAACGCCATCCTTTCAGAGTACCGAAATACTGTTAGGAATCAGAGATTAGAGGTGGTCAAGTGAACACACACACACAAATAGCAGAAACTATGAACACGAGATTTAACGTGGTTTGGTTAGTAACCTACTCCACGGGTTGCAACTAGGGTTTACCTTTTATTAGGTGCTGACTAGAGTTACATGATTAGGCATCTATAAGAGAGTTTGACTGCCCAACATAGAGTGCTAGTTATGGACTTTTGTATCCAACAAAAGGTAAAGAGAAGTCGCCAAGAGGGGAACCTAAGGACTAGATGGTGGCAGTTGAAGGGTGATAAACAAATGGATTTCCAAAGTCGTTTAGTAGAAGAAGCAAAATGGGATAAACATGGAACTGCGGAAGAGTTATGGTCTGATATGGCAGATATTATTATAAAGGTGGCAAAAGAAACCTTTGGAGAAACTAAAGGTACTAATGCTAGAGAAAGAATTATGGTGGTGGGACACTAGTGTGTAAGAGAAGGTAAAGGTAAAGAGGGAACGTTTTAAGGAGTGGTCTTTATATCGGAATGTGGAAAGTTGGGAAAGGTATAAGACAGCTAAGACAGAGACAAAAAATGGCTGTAATTGAAGCAACAATGAGAGCATATGAAGGGTTTTAGCAGTGTTTGGGTACGAAAGAAGGGGAAAGATGTATTTACAAGATCGCAAAGGGTCGAGAAAGAAGGATGCGAGATTTGGACCAAGTTAAGTGCTTTAAAGATAAGAATGGCAAAGTTTTGGTTTTCGTTGAAAGCATAAACGACTGGTGGAAGAGCTACTTCAATGATCTGTTTAATGAGGAGCACGTGAATCTCGCATGCTCCGATCGGCTACAGAGGGAAGAGGACCACAACTTCAATTATTATCGAAGAATTCGAGAAACTGAAGTAAAGGAAGCCCTAAAACAAATGAAGAATAGCAGAGCAGCCCAGACAACATTCCAATTGAAGTTTGGAAAGCTTTAGGAGGAAAAGGCATTTGGTGGCTAACTAAGCTTTTTAACGGGATTTTAAGATCTAAGAAGATGCCTAACGAATGGAGGAAGAGCATTTTGGTTTCTATTTACGAGAATTAGGGAGATATTCAAAGTTGTGGAAACTACAGAGGGATCAAATGTATGAGTCATACGATGAAGTTATGGGAAAAGGTGGTTGAACGGAGGTTGAGACAAGAGATCGGTGTTAGAGAACCAATTTTGTTTTGTGCGAGGAAGAACGACTACAAAGGCTATATACTTGGTGAGAAGAATGATGAAGAGGTACCGAAGTGAAAAGAAAGATCTACATATTTTATTGATTTGGAAACGGCATATGACAGGGTACCAAGAGATGTTTTGTGGAAGGTGCTAGAGAAAAAAGGAGTAAGGATTGCTCATATTCGTGTAATTAAGGACATGCACGAGGGGGCTACAACGAGCATGAGAAGTCAAACTAGGATGATAGGGGAATTCTCCATCGAGGTAGGATTACACCATGGGTCATCTTTAAGCTCTTTTTACACTAGTATTGGACGTTCTTACCGAGCATATCCAAGAATCCATACCATGGTGCATGGTTTTTGCCCATGACATCATCCTTATGAGCGAATCACGAGAGGATTTGAATGAGAAGTTTGATTTGTGGAGTCAGGCTTTAGAGTTGCATACTTGCATGGCTTGCATATAAGTCGCACTAAAACAGAGTGTATGGAGTGCACGTTTGGCAACAGAAAGAGAGACAGTAACATTGAGGTGAAAGTTGGAGAAAATACTATACAACAAGTAAATAGATTTAAATATCTTGGGTGTATCATTCAAGACAATGGAGAAATAGAGGATGATGTTAATCACATGATTCAAGTAGGTTGGTCAAATCGCGGAGTGCTTCGGGCTTTATATGTGACAAAAAATGTACCTTTAAAACTAAAAGGAAGATTTTACCATACTACTATTAGACCATCTATATTGTATGGGAAGTGTTGGGGCAGCAAAGGGTGAACATGAACACAAGGTTAGTGTGGCAGAAATGAAGATGCTTCGTTGGATGAGCGGTCATACACGTATGGATATAATAAGGAATCAAGATATGTGAGCTAAAATTGGAAACTCGTCTTAGGTGGAATGAACATTTGGAGAGAACACTTTTTCAGATCTTCATTTTCACTTTGAGTAAAGTAAATTCAGACAACTAGTGTCACTTGCTACCAATTGTGATAATAGTAAATTTGCATTGTTATTGTCTTAAATGACTTCCATGATGTTTGGTTTGTCATTTGAAAATTTAACTATTCTTTAGTTGATCATTGCAATCTTAAAGTAATTAACGCTATTTGCGAAAATACCTATATATATCTACTGTGCATGCAAAATAAAATAGTTATACTCTGTATTATTTTTATTTCTTTATGCTCTTGCAGTGAAGTAATAAAGAACCTGCTTACAAGTGATGTTATATATCAGGTATTGATATAAGCATTTCTATTTGCTTTCAGGATAGTGCTCTGTGGAACTCTTTTCGTTGTTCGAACTCTAGATAATAATTGCATCTTAATTCACTAAAGAAAAGTATGGTTCTATTTAGATCCAAGGTAATGCCGTATTAATCTCTTTTTTTCAGTGTCTGATGCATAAGTATGTCTTTGTAATAGAATGGTGCAAAACTTTTCTGTCCAAAATAACTTTGAGTCTTTTACTTATCATGCTCCCGGACTGGCTTCTATGAGCAAGTAGTGAAATTGAATTTTCTCTGACATGTTAATCTGTTTCACGTAAATCAGTTTTCTCCACTTGACATTCCTCATGTCATTGAGGCATTTCTCTGTTACTGGAGTCCAACTGCAATCATATTGATGGAAAGTGAACTTTGGCCAAATCTTGTTATGTGTGCTGCAAAAAATGGGGTGAGCATTTCTTATTTCATATATAATTATGCATGACTGACTCAATGTGTACAGTTCCAGCATCCACTTCTCATTGCTTTAAAACATTTAGAACTCATATCCAAGTTGAACCTTGTGATGTTTATGTATGCTGTTTTATTTGTTTGTTTGTTTTCTCCTATTTTATTGATTTATTTTGTGTGCTATACTCACTATTATACAATTGTATGTGCTCATATGATATTGGCCCTTGCATTGCAGATTGTGTGTTCATTTATATAAATAGTACCCCCTCCATCCCAAATTAATAGTCCACATTTTGTTCAGCGGGGAGTTTAAGAAATGTGAAATTGTGTGGGTGAAATTGATGCAGAGAGAAAATATTAGCCATACAAAATTTTCAAAAAATGGAAAGATTATTTATTTGGGACATCCCAAAAAAGAAATGAGGACTTAATTCAGGACAGGGGGAGTAGATTTTCTTCGTTGTATTTACAGTCATCAATTTGTCCTTCTCAGATTGCATTGGCATTACTTAATGCTCGGATGTCCAGAAAGTCTTATCAAAAGTGGTCTCTTCCTGGCATTCATCCCCTAACATCGTTGTTAGTGTCAAAGTTTGTGCTGATTGTCCCATTGGCAAGTATTTGTATACAAACATCATCCATAGTGAAATTAGATTTTCCTTTCTTGCTGTTGCTAACACTTCATTTTTTATTGCTTCCATAGAGCACAACACAAGGAATCAATTTTCAGCTACTGCAGGCTTCACCGTTTGTCATTAGTTTTTGTGGTGACCTTAAGTATGGTATGCCCAAAATTTTAACCTATGAACCATATATATATATATATATATACATACATACATACATACACACACACACATACATATATATATATATATGTATATATATATGTATGTATGTATGTATGTGTGTGTGTGTGTATGTATGTATGTATGTATGTATGTATGTATGTATGTATGTATGTATGTATGTATGTATGTATGTATGTATGTATGTATGTATGTATGTATGTATGTATGTATGTATGTATGTATGTATGTATGTATGTATGTATGTATGTATGTATGTATGTATGTATGTATGTATGTATGTATGCATG